TCTCTCATGTAATTTACAAACTTAAAAATGGGAAGTGAAAGGGCCTCATAAGTGGAATAGCCTAGGGCTTCTTTTCATCTAAATCCGGCATTGGCAACTGTTGATAATCACATAATAAACCCTATTCTCATTATTTGGTTGAAAGCAGAGCTTAAAACAGTTCTTTTCAAGTTCCAGGCGAGGATGAAAAGATTTAAGAGATCAGGTGAGGGATCTGAAAAGTAAAGGGAAAGAGGTAATATTTCCCAAAGCAGCTCTTAAATCTAAAGTCTCAATAGTCAATCTGCATTTGTAATCAAGCCAACATCCACAATCTGCTCAGTAAATTTAGCATTAGCTAACAAGCTCATGTATACACATTAACTAACACATCTCCACAGTGTCGAACAGTTGGACTAAGAACCTTGTTCCTTCAAATGCCTATAATTCCACACACCACGTTTAGTGGGCCTAGAACAGGGGTATCAAACTTGCAGTCTGTGGACCGGATCGGGGGTGGGTTCTAGCCAGCGTTACTGCTGGTTTGCTCATGTGCACATTTTGCACATGTGCAGTTCAATGGAAATTCTCAAAAACTCAAAAAAAGATGGTGACCGCAGCGACCGGGAAACTGGTTCGGAGGTATGGCCAGTCTGGGTTACTGCTGGTTCTGTGACCCAGGCCAGCATACCACTACCGGTTCTGTTGAAGTGGGTCAAACCAGTAGGAACCCACCTCTGGACCGGATGTGTCACATGTTGACCATGTCCACACCATGTTTAGCAAAGGGGGAAAAGTCACAATACATCACATGATGATGCTGTGACAATGTGAGTTTGACATCCTTGGACTAGAAACATAAAACATACTGCGATTCATCCCGACTTTAAAAGCCATGCCACCCTATAACTCCTATCACTGGCATATCTTATGCCAGTGATTCTCACATAGTTGGCTACCAGTTTCAATTCTGGATTGACTGTATGTCTAATCAGTGGTGGGTTTCAAATTTTTTTAGAACCTCTTCTGTAGGTGTGGCCTGCTTTGTGGGAGTTGCTTGCCGGCCATGTGACCGGGTGGGAGTGGCTTGCCAGCCATGTGACCGGGGAAGTGGCTTGCCAGCCATGTGACTGGGTGGATGTGGCCAACTTGTAAAATGTGATGGAACTGACTTAACAACGCTCTTGCTTAGCAACCAAAATGTTGGTTCAGAAACTCTGGCATTTGAAGAACGCAAATCTTAAAGCTGTCAAGTTACAAGACCCTTGCACCTCTAACCCTTTAGAAAAAAAAGTGTGGACTTCAACTTCCAGAATTCCTCCTCTCGCTCTTCACCTTGATGATGTGCGGATGGGCGGGGGGAGGGAGTTGGAACCGGTTCTAAATAGCACTGTAGATTTGTGGAACCTCTTCTATAGAAGAGGTTAGAACTGGCAGGAACCCACCCCTATGTCTAATGGAATGTCAGTATTGCTCTTGAAGCGTGTTAATAAAGCAAAAGAAGAGAAAAATGGTGCTTGAATCTGTGTTGATCTAAGTTTTGTTTGGTAAACTTAAAAAATTGCATGATCCTTTTGATATTTGAAGGGGCATAGTGAAGGTATTACATTGAGGTGGAATTTGGTTTTTTTTCTTGTTCATTGGTCAATGCTGTTATTACTGCCTTTTATGCAAACTGTAGGAGTCCAAGGAAGAAGATGCAGGAGCTATTCCAACTAAGGCCAGATAGAACAGAGTAGTTCCTGTTTCTTCCATGTTCTATGCTCTTCCAGAAGATCCTTTGACTACTAATGGACATGAAATATGAATGCAGTGGGAGGATATTAAAGTCTAAGATGGGTGTTTCCTTGAAGAAGGAAACATTATCAACATGATAGATCGTGGGCTAGGGAGTAGGATAAGGTGCTTTTCCAGTTTATTTGGGGAAATATCTGGGTGTGGTCCATGTATTGTGTAAGACGATGAGAAGCTGATATAGCAGATGGAGGAATCTGAGAATAAGGCTGATTGATACAGATGACAAGGAGGAAGAGTAACAGTTTACAGTGATGGGAAAGTGTATGAACAGAGTAGTCCACCTGTTATCAGAGCCAATTTTGTCCCCTATACTATGTAATACTTGCATAAAATCTGTTAGGAATTTTAGACTGGAGAATCATTAAAATGCTATGACATCCATATTATACTAAGTGCTGTACTGGTCTTTGCTGTCAATGTCTAAGAAGTGTATCGCCTAAATTCATGCATTCATTTTATTATTGAATGCACTGCATTCTTGAATAAAAATAGAAAGTTAGTTTACAACAATTAAAAAATAGAAACTATAATAAGGAATACAATTGATACATTTAAAGTTAATCCAAAATTTAAAACCACATCTTTCAAAAAATAAAAACGCCTTGACTGCTAAAATTAAACCAGGCAAATGCAGTGTTGTTAATCATGAGCAATCTGGACTCAAAGACTGGAGGTCTGACATTCTGGAATATATCACATTTCTCCTAAATGAACAGGTGCAGAGTGTCCGGGAGTCTCCTTTATCCTCAGGTGACAGTGGATTCCCAGCTAACAGTTGTGGCATGTTATACAGTTATGTTGTTGTGACAAGGATTTCAGCTTCATTCCAATGCAACTATTATCACGTGCTTTCTGTGAAGCTGCCCTTAAATTGTCCATATGTCAGGCCCCCAAAACCAAGAATGATACAGGGAGTTATTTCTGAGTAGTTTCTTTATTCTTCACCTGCAGAAACAATCTTGCCACACTAAAACAACTACGGTATCTGCCTAAACTATAGATGTACTCTGTGAATTTCTAGGAAGGGTCCCCCTTTGCCCTTTTCCTGCCTACTACACCTTCCAAGCTCCACCCTCTCTTTGCTCTTTGGGAAGTAACCCAGAGGTGGGTTTCTGCCAGTTCGCCCCGGATCAGGCGAACCGCTACTGGCGGTGGCAGGAGGCTCCACCTACTCACCTGGATGCTTCTGCGCCTGTGTAGAAGTGTCACACAAGCGCACGAGCGTGCACGAGTGAACCAGTAGTAAATAAATTGAAAACCACCACTGAAGTAACCCCTCCCACTTGGGATACCAGACTACATTCCAGGATAATGAGATACAATTGATACAAAATATAAGAACTAGGTTGATGGTATAAGATACT